TGTGGCCTCTGGCGGTGCTGGGTTTGGGGCCCCTTCGGGTGCTTCGTCGAGGCGGGAGCTACCCTCTCCACAGGAGCTGCGCGAGTGGTTTTCCCGGCGCTGGAGCCATGCTGCTGGAGCTGGAGGTGCTGCTGTTACTGCTGACCCTGGGGTCGGCACTGGAGTTACTGGAGCCACTGGTCCTGGAGGTGCTCGTACTGGCGGTACTGGAGCTGCTGGGACTGGGGGTGCTGCTGGGGCTGCTGGAGTTGCTCCTGCTGTTGGTGCTACTGGAGCTGCTGGAGCTGGTGCTGCTGGAGCTGCTGGAGCTGCTGGAGTTGGTGCTGCTGGAGCTGCTGGAGCTGGAGCTGCTGGGGGTGTTGGCGCTGGTGGTGCTGCTGGCGCTGGTGCTTCTGAGGGTGCTGGAGTTGGCGCTGTTGGAGCTGGAGGTGCTGCTGGCGCTGGTGCTGCCGCTGGGGGTGCTGGTGCTGTCCCTGCTGGTTCTGGAGGCGCTGCGCGGCCGCGGCCGTACTTCGTTCCGCTCCTTGAGCAGGTTCTTGGTCTCCCGCCCTCTACTGGTCCTACTCCTCCCTTAGAGTGTCCACAGCCTGTCCAGTCGCGGTCACAGTTACAGCCCGCCTCCCCCCTACCTGCTCCTTCTCCCTACACTGGTCCTACTGGAGGTCCGTCTCGTCCTGCGTCGCCTGTTCGTGCTGCTCGCACTAGTAGTCGTGCTCCGCGTCCGCGTCCTCCTTCGGTCCCAGGCACACACCAGATGGCACTGCGTCCTTCCACTGCTCCTCTTCGTGTCCCGTTGCCGTCTCCTCCAGAGTCCTCTCTTCCTGTTCTTGCTGACCCGGAGTCTGACTCTCTTCGTGCTGCCAGTCCTACTGTCACGCGTCTCCTGGCTACTGTTGTCACTGACCCTTCCTTTGAGTCCACTGTTGCGTCTGCCATAGTTGCTGAGCTTGTCGACTTTGCTGCTCGCTGTCGTCTCGACTACGCCGCTAGTCTCGTTGCTGAGTCTGAGTCTGTCTGTCCTCCGTCCGTCGGGGGTGAGTGTGCTCTTAGCACGGACGTCCTTGAGGACAGGCAGGAGGAGTTCCAGTGTTTTGCTGCTGCTTTGCCTCATCTCGTGTCCACGCTGATTGCCCCTGAGGGAGACCCGGATGCACCAGACATCCCGACTCCTCGACCGTACGCTGAGGCGATCGAGGGTCCCTACTTCTCACAGTGGCAGTCAGCCATGGACGCAGAGATGGCTTCCTGGAAGTCCACAGGCACCTACGTCGACGAGGTTCCCCCACCTGGGGCGAACATTGTCAGTGGCATGTGGATTTTCAGGGTGAAGCGGCCGCCGGGTTCTCCGCCTGTCTTCAAGGCGCGTTACGTGGCTCGAGGCTTCAGTCAGCGGCAGGGATTTGACTATTTCTGACCTTCTCTCCCACCCCGAAGATGACCACTCTTCGGGTGCTGCTGCACATAGCCGCTCAGCGCGACTACGAGCTTCACTCTCTTGACTTTAGCACAGCTTTCCTGCAGGGCAGCCTGCACGAGGAGATCAGGCTGCGCCGCCCACCTGGCTTCACTGGGTCGTTTCCCCCTGGTACCCAGTGGAGCCTCCGGCGGCCAGTCTATGGTCTCCGCCAGGCGCCCTGTGAGTGGCACGACACACTGAGGGCTACACTTGCGGCTCTTGGGTTTGCTCCTTCTACTGCCGACCCGTCGCTGTTTCTACGCACCGACACCTCTTTGCCGCCGTTCTACATCCTCGTGTACGTCGACGACTTGGTCTTTGCCACTGCTGACACTGCTGGACTCGCCCACGTGAAGTCCGAGCTGCTGAAGAGACACACGTGCACAGACCTGGGTGAACTGCGCAGCTACCTTGGCTTGCAGATCACCCGGGACAGAGCACAGCGCACCATTACCCTGACTCAGTCACACATGGTGCAGCAGGTCCTTCAGCGCTTCGACTTCACGTACTCCTCGCCTCAGGCCACTCCTCTGTCTACTCGCCACTCGCTCTCAGCTCTGCCTTCGGATGAGTCCGTAGAGCCGAGTGGCCCGTACCCAGAGCTTGTTGGCTGCCTCATGTACCTGATGACCTGCACACGACCTGACCTTGCATACCCTCTTAGCATCTTGGCACGCTATGTTGCTCCTGGGAGACACCGACCAGAGCACATGGCTGCAGCGAAGAGGGTGTTGCGCTACTTGTGCAGTACGTCGGGCATGGGGCTAGTGCTTGGAGGGCGACGTTCAGTGGTCCTCACAGGTCACGCGGACGCTTCTTGGGCTGACGACCAGGCTACGCAGCGGTCGTCACAGGGTTACACCTTCAGCCTTGGTTCCGGCTCTGTTTCGTGGCGGTCTACCCGCTCGTCTTCTGTTCTCGGCTCCAGCTGTGAGGCTGAGATCTACGCGGGGGCCATGGCTGCACAGGAGCTACGCTGGCTCACCTACCTGCTGACTGACCTAGGAGAGCCGCCTCGTTCTCCTCCAGTTCTGTACGTAGACAACAAGGCCATGCTGGCCTTGTGTCGGGAGCACAGACTGGAGCACAGAACGAAGCACATTGCTCTTCGCTACTTCCTTGCTCGTGAGCTGCAGCAGCGTGGTCAGCTGCGCCTTGCTTACGTGGCCTCTGAGGCCAACACTGCTGATATCTTTACCAAGGCACTTCCGCCTTGTGATCATCAGCGCTTCTGTACGATGCTAGGTCTTGTGCCTACTTGGCCTCACTTGCTCACTTCTTGACCTTGCTTGTACTGTGATCTTTCTATACCTGCACTTGCTTGTTTACCTTTATATATGATCTTGCATGTGAACTGGCCTTGTGGCCTTGAACTTGTGCTCGGAATGTGTGGTGACGTTGTGATCCACCCTGAGCTTGCTTTGCTTTGCTTGACTGGTCTTGTGACCTCTTGTTCTCCCCCACTTTGCCTATGGGGGTGTGTCTAACTCATATGCTATAGTCTGTGTAGGCTGTAGTGGGGTAGACAATATGGAGTACAACACTTTTAGGTTTTCCTACTTGTACCCACCTGCTTGCTAGTTCATCCATCCCTCGTTCTTTCACACAGGCGGCCATGGCGGGAGCTTGATGGGTTTTGTAGGGGCGAATGCCGAGTTGTTCGGTTGGCGCCATGTTACGAAGTAGGACGCTATACGCCATGAGTGACTCGTTGGAATACTGAGCCTTTGCGTCGTCAGTGTCGCTGGTGGGGGCAGCGTAGCTTCCGTCAAAGTAGCAGGAAATTTGCGCGTTTTGTAGAAGTAGCTCGAGCTCGAAGCTCCAGGTGTAAAAGTCTCGCTCGCTAAACACGATGCTACGGTAGATCGAATCTTGGAGATAAACAGAAACTTGTTATGAGTTGCGAGCACGGCTTCGTCACTTGGACGAGAAACAGTTGGAGCAGAAGAATTGGACCCGAGATCGAAGGTGGTTGGGTTTGGTTCCTTGGTTGGAGCGCCCAGTTGTTCGGGTTGCTGAGCAGTTTTCGGGTTGCCACAGTTGTCGAATTCCTGATTCCAGCGTAGAAATCCGCTGGATGAGTTGCTCCAGTAGCGCACGCGGAGTTCGCGGTAGGGTTGGCGGGGGCTTCGGTCGGTAATGTTGGCCGCTTGTCCGCCAGATCCTACAGCCATGTTACGGACTCTGTCAGAAGAGGGAGATTTGAATCTCGACAGTAATTCCTAATACAATGCGGTACAGGGGTTTATATAAGAATACAGTGGAATACGAAAGGTCCTCGCTAGCCATGTACTCCGAGGGAGTACATTTCCCCTAGGGCTAATATAGATGCAGCATCGCAACCGTGTGGTTCGGTCACGGTTCGCGGTCCGGTAACCGTTTGAACTTTTCCCGCGCTTTGCACATCGAATTCTTTCTGCTTGTACAGTAACTGTATCGACAACTGTTTTGATAACTGTTTCATCGCTTGGTCTTTCGTCTTCGCTGCAGTCACCTTCGCGTTAAGGATTTATTACTCAGGAATGTTTATTCAACTATTCTATATCGTAACACGACACATACTGCAATTCCTTATATGAGCCAATCTAGCTTTCTAGATCCACACTAAGTAGTGGGTGTTATTTTTTAGTGGCAACATTAGAGCATGCTCTCGACTTGATTAAATCGACCAAATCATAAGTTTTTAGATTCAAATATGGTCTGATACAAACTGTGATGGAGTTCACTTCAGACTGTGTTTAGGAAGGTTTGTTCACTTCAATGTAAAGTACCCATAGCTACATGAAGCTGAACAGCCAAGAATGCATGGAGTGGGCAAATGGTCTCTTGAGCAAGAACGGTTGTTTCGTTAGCGGAGATTTCGGGCGACCGACATTTTCGATGTTGGTTTTCCAGCCACCACTGCAGCGGCTTGACAAATCCCGCCTTTCAAATTTCAGCCATGCAGCACGACGGCCCGCAGTCATCGAGTCGCATCCCTTCCAGACGACCAATGGTGTTTCCCGCTCCTTCCCACAGAGCCGGTGGCCCGCTGCATTCCAAGTTTTCAGGCTCGTCAAAATTACAGCTACGGACGCCACCGCAGTCAATTTCCCTGAGGTTCCGCCATCCGCTGGAACACTGGGAGGAACCAAACGTAGAGAGGGAGAAAGAGAGAGATCAGCAAGGAAGCACCCATGCAAGTGATATGGCCGTTTTCTCAAAAGCGCAAACGGCTGTTGTGCTCCTTCGGTGGCGAGGCGAGGCGAGGTACCCTCGACCTGTCGAACCGCTCCGACAGAACAGACGACCGACGAAAACACGGCGGGTTGAAACGCCTGTGCGAGTTCGTGCCCTTTAAATGTAGGCCAATGAAAGAGTTGGACAATCAGCCACTGCTCACATCTCCAATTCCCTTCCTCTGACCATCAAAGCTAACCTGCTTGTGAGTAACAGTCTCATTCGACGCAGCAGTCCGATCCTGAAATCCATAGTTTGACCGTAGTTGATCAATCCACGCTAACTAGCCTCTTATCACCAGACCCGAAGCCAGTCAACAAGAGCCATGGCTCGTTCATTCGCCTTCGCTGTCGCTTTAGCCGCGCTTGCCGTCATCTGCGCCGTTTCGTCCGTTAGCGCGATAACCGCCGCGCCAGGAACAACGCCAGCTCCGAACGCCAAGGGAATTCCGGCAACAGGAACGGGAGCGGCGCCGAAGCCGAAGGCAGGGCCGCCGCCGACGAGGACGCAGCTGCGCGCCGAGCTGAAGAAGCTGTCGGCGACAATCACCAAGAAGTACCCGAAATACGCCAAGTACTCGACGCAAGTCAACAAGGCCATCAATGTCGCCCGTGAGTTTCATCAACACTCCTAGCATGCAGAGCATATGGCCTTCTGGTAGTCCTCCTGGCAACGGCTCCCAAAGCACCCAGAAGATGGGCATCGGGAATGCCAATCAAGGGGCCTCATAGGAGTCTTGCTAGCAACGGCTGCTCAGTCTCGTCAGCCGTCGACTCGCCAGACGCTCCCTTTTCGATCCCCTCCCATACTGTTATGCCACACCCTTCTCGATCCGCTTTTGATTGCAATCCTTTCCTAACCGTGTTGATTCCATTCTCCCCTCGGGGCTCCCCCGTCCATCTCTGATATAGTGAACTCCAAGTACAACTTGACGGCGCTGCAGAGCGCTACGATTCTGCTGATGAACGACGTGGTGGCGGACCGCCTGTCGCTGCGCTTCAAGGGCAAGAAGATCCCCAACGACGCGGCATACAACTTGACGGCCGTGCAGATCATCGCGAGGCGCCTCACGCTGCCGGATCTGCAGGCGATCAAGAAGGGCCAGCTGCTGCCGACGCAGCTCAAGGGGGTCAGCCTCGTGAAGATGTCGCCGGCGGGGCCGAAGGTGGTGCTGGGGCAGCAGGGCCTGGCGAGGCCGACGTGGAGCACGGTGCTGGACCCGCAGATGTACGTCGGCCCGTACTTCGTCGCGCACGGTGTTGATAACCCGCAGTTCCCCGTGGGCACCAAGCTCCCCGCGTAACGTGAATGCGGGAGACGGCCTAGGTGGAAGCTTATACGGGAAGGGCCTGCGTGAAGCTTGCAGGCCCGCTTGTGAAAGCGTATACGAATGCAGGTTATACATAGCGCGTATGGAGCGGATGTGATGCGTCATGCACAAGGCGTCCTTGTGGAACCTTGTGACTCGCTGCTTGATTGCCATGTTAACTCAATGGCTACATAGGCTGGAACATTAGGGAGGATCTTCACATCTAGTTTATATTGTTATGAGATATTCTGCTTATTATGTTGACTTAGTTTCTGATTATCCTGAAAGAACTGAGAGGGTAGAGCTGGAGGCCCCAACATACAAACCTTCCAAACCATAATTTCTAGTCACAATTTCTGTTCTAGTATGCTACTTGTTGGGCAGAAACGCCCACTCGATGTCATTTTTAGAGGATGGAGCTATAACAAAGCAAATATCTTGCTGAAACCAGTGGAAGCGAAGCGTACTGAAGTTGTAAAAACATCTGTACAGTCCAGGTGGTGCTGCTGTGGCAGCCAGTTTCAGCTCACCAATTGCAACCACTCTCGCTTCATTTGTCACAACACCATAGGCTCCCGCACTTCAGCGAGTGGTTTCTATTGACAGGCTACGAACTTTGCGAAAGCCTCTCACAGTCAAGGCATCACAATCTCACGGTCTTCAAAGGTGCCACCTCAGCAGCGCAGTACAAGCGGTTACCAGCATGTAGCTCGGTTCGCTCCACGGATCTGATGTGACGAAGCGACTCTTGGGGCACAGTTTGACAGGCAGACCCTTGAGAAGAGTTTCCCTCCAATTCCTGAGGACGCGTCACAATTGCGACATCGAACCTGCGTGGGATCGATGTTCCGGGCGAGTAGTTCGCTGTGTCTTGTATCCCTATTTCGTTAACGTTCGTTAATACCCGACACGTCACCGAACGCGATGTCCCTTCCAGATCGATCTGTCACCGTACTCAAATCATACTTATTGCATTCACATCTTTCAAAAAAGCTTCTAACCCCGTTAACTTTCGAACCTGAAGACGATCGCGCCACATCTGGCTCGGTGGAGATCGATTCTCACAGCTTTGGTGTGTAACCGCGATCCTCCCTCGATGTCGCAATTGTGACGCGTCCTGAGTCCATGAAGTCCTGCTGGCCTTGGGAATTGTGATGACGGCCAGTCCATTCCAGGCAAACAGGGAAATCCCCTGGCTTCAAAATTTTATTGATCAGGAGAGCAAGTTCTAAATTTGCAAGAGGTAGCTAAAAGACTGGTGATATTTGCAGCACGCTGTGCTGTCCTGCTGTCCTGCTCCGGCTGTCTTTCCAGTCGATCGCGCGGATCAGCTCTCGGTCAGCTTCCGTGTGTTGATCGATCAGACATGGCGGAGCAGAAGAAGGGGTCGGTGTGGGGTTCCGTGAAGCCGTTCGTGAATGGCGGAACGGCTGGTATGATGGCCACCTGCGTGATCCAACCTATCGACATGGTTAAGGTTCGTTACTTCCTTCCCAACGTCGACTTAAGACTGTTGCCCTTGACGAAAAAATAGAACAGATTGTCCTTTATCTGGACTTACTTGATCTTGAATGAACTTAGTGAACCATCGTATCACGATCCGTTACTGAACATTTACTGCTCCTTATTTCATTTATACTTATGAATCGTTTTCTTTTTCTTCCCTGTCGCCGTTTTTTTACCCTTGCGTACAACAGGTCCGGATCCAGTTGGGCCAGGGCTCGGCGTTTGAAGTTACAAAGAATATCATTCAGAAGGAGGGTGTGGCGTCCTTCTACAAGGTAACGTCATGCTTCGACACGAGATGTTATCACGATTCGACACCAGGTTTCATCGTGCTCCTTGTGGATATGGCACCTGATTCAAACATAATGGCATGACGAAAGAAGATTTTAAGCTGCGTCAACAAGGATCGATCGTGCATTGACGCCAGTTACTAGTTTCAGGGAACTTGTGTGGTCCGTTTTCCAGAATGAGGAGATCAGTTTTTTCTGAAGAGTGTCTTAGCGCGAGTTGAGCTCTCGCCATCTCGACTCTTGCCTCACATTTTTATTTTAGGTTTACGAAGTTTGCCTTCGACTCCAACACTCGCCATCTTGCCCATTGCTGATCGAGTTGTTATCTCTAATCCATTCTTCCTCTCTTCAGGGTTTGTCTGCGGGTCTTCTCCGACAAGCCACATATACCACCGCTCGCCTTGGATCGTTCAGGTACTTCGCATTTTCCAATCGCATTCTACATTCCTCTTGTAACATGCAGTCACCATACTACTAGATTTTGCTAACGAGGTCCATGGGTCCTTACGCATTTTAGCGTGCGTGTCAGTACATATCATGCAAACGACGTGCATCGACAGTGCAGGGTTATAGAATCGCCACACAAGGTACCCCATGGAACCACATTGCGCGAAAATGAGTTGGTGAAATCGGATCTCGTTGACGTCAGTTATCAACGTCACGTGGAAGGTTGTGAGAGACCCATATCCCACGGTCTGGGCGGGATGTCCCTCTTCGTTTGCTCTCCGCTTAAAACCCGCAGGCCAAGAATTTCAACCTTAGGAAGGTTGGTTGGGAGTGAAAACGCAAAAGGCCTGCGAACCAATAGGAGTGTCCGAAATGTTGGACGAGGTCTAGAATTCGGGAATGATCACAGGCATTTTTGGGACATCCAACCAACGCTAGGAAGGATGAACCAAATTTGGCCTTCTTGGCCTGCGGGTTTTAAGTGCTCCGAGAGATGCTGTACGCGTGGGGGAGACGCGCGCAGATCCGTACCCCTCTCGCATCCACGCCTCTCCAGGCAAATCCCACAGAAGCCTCGTTTTAGAGATCGTGAAATCAATCCCGTGAATTTTTTGGTTCGCTCATTCCCAGCCACATCTCTTGACCTCCTCCCGTCGCTGATCCGCAGGTATCTCACCACGGAGGCCACCAAGGCCAACGACGGCAAGCCCCTGCCGCTCTACCAGAAGGCGGCGTGCGGGCTGACGGCGGGCGCCATCGGCGCGTGCTTCGGCAGTCCCGCGGATCTCGCGCTCATCCGCATGCAGGCGGACTCCGTGCTCCCCGCGGCGGAGCGCCGTGGGTACAAGAACGCGATTCACGCTCTAACGCGTATAGCGGCGGACGAGGGCGTGACGGCGCTGTGGAAGGGCGCGGGCCCCACGGTGGTTCGTGCGATGGCGCTGAACATGGGCATGCTGGCGTCGTACGATCAGAGCATGGAGTACTTTAAGGACACGCTGCAGCTTAAGGAGATCCCCGCTGTTATCGGTGCGTGCTTATAGTGGGATGTGATTGTAATGCGTGTGGTGTTCGATGGGAGTGGTGGTGGTGGGAGGCATGGCGCTGCACGTGGGCAGGCTGTCCTACGGTGAAACCAGAGAGCACATGGTGTGCTGTATCGCTTCCTCTCTCGCCCCCTCCCCGTCCCTCTGTTTGTTTCCTCCCCCCATATCGAGCCTGGTGTTCTTTCTTCACAACCCTGCTCGATCCCCCTTCCTCCCTTCCCCCCTTGGCACCCTTTCTCATCCGCCCGTCCCCATCCCTCAGGCGCGAGTGCGGTATCCGGATGCTTCGCATTCGCATGCAGTCTGCCATTCGACTACGTGAAGAAGCAGATCCAGAAATACAAACCCTCTTTTTCTCTTCCGTCCTAATTCCCCCATCCCTCAGGCGCGAGCGCGGTCTCAGGGTTCTTCACTCCCGCATGCAGCCTCCCCTACGACTACGTGAAGAAGCAGATTCAGAAGCAGAAACCCTGTTTTCCTTCTGCCTTCCCGATTGTATCCCACCCCCCTGTCCCTCATCCCTCAGGCGCGAGCGCGGTATCTGGATTCTTCGCGTCCGCGTGCAGTCTGCCGTTCGACTACGTGAAGACGCAGATTCAGAAGCAGAAGCCGGGGCCGGACGGCAAGCTGCCGTACAGCTCCTCCATGGACTGCGTCGTGCAGACGCTCAAGCAGGGCGGCCCCCTCAAGTTCTACACCGGCTTCGCCACCTACTGCATACGTATTGCGCCGCACGTCATGGTGTGTGTGGGTCTAGTGCGGTGAAGAATTCGGGCTTGACATGATCGGGTGTGCTGGTTTGACGGTTGGGTTTGTTGGTTAGTCAGGGTTTGGGTGTGCTGCGTAAGACGCTCAAGAAGGGGGCCCTCTCAAGGGCCGGACGGCAAGCTGCCGTACAGCTCCTCCATGGACTGCGTTGTGCAGACGCTTGAGCAGGGCGGCCCCCTCAAGTTCTACACCGGCTTCGCCACCTACTGCATACGTATTGCGCCGCACGTCATGGTGCGGTATGTGTGGGTTTGGTGTAATGGTGTGGTTCGGTTTGGTCTTGGGGTGTGGGTGCGGCTGTTGGGGTAGAGTGGGTTTGATGTCATGTCATTTCGCTTTGCTGTTGTTTGAGTGAGTGTCGCTCAAGCTCGACTTCGCACACTTCGCCACCTCCAGTGAACGTATCGGTTACGCACATCATGGCATGCCCGGGTGTGATGTTGTGGAGTTGGGGGGTTCACGCAGCGGGTATGTGTCAGTCTCTCACACTGGATTTGCCCTTATGCGAGAATCTCAGTTCCTCGGGTTGCCTTGTGGTAGCTTGTCTAGTGTTCCCAAGGCTTTGTCTGACACTTGTGGTTTTAATTCCGGTGGCTTGCTGTGCGCTTTCCTCCTTGGTGCCCCTGCAGCTGACTTGGATCTTCCTCAACCAAATCCAAAAGCTTCAGAAGGCCAATGGCTTGTAGCGACCCTACGCGCCTGACTGAGCCTGTTGTTACACGTGTTATCTCAAATTCGCTATTCTATACACTAGCTAGCTCGCAGACTCACTTCTACAAAATGCCGTCAAATCACTAAGGTGGACAAGCTCCTTATTTGACCTCAGGTTGTAAGAATGTAGACAAACAAAGCTCCTGCAACCTGGTATGGTATGACGGCAACTAGAAGCTTACCAAGTCGTTCACAAGCCGCTGGAGCTTTGGTCCGACTCAAGGTT